CTGCACAAGAGAATAAAAATGGCTATTCGTAGCAGACCACAATCTCCATTCACAAAGTGCTCTTTGTTTTCACATCAAGTAAGGTAGCCTCTGTTCGGTTCATGCATATTTTTGTCAGGTGGCTCATTCACTTGGATGTCTACTCTCCCTGCCACGCACGTGGATACCTGGCCTTGCTTCCAGTGCTCAGCTGGCACTTCAGTCTATTTCTTGTGCGCCCCTGTATTAGTTTCCTAGGGCTTCTGTGACTATTACCACAAACAGGATGGTTAAAAAAAAAAAAAAGACCAGAAATGTATTCTCTCACAGTTCTGGAGGTCAGAAGTCCAAACACAAGGTGCTGGCATGGTTGGTCCCTTCTGGAGGCACTAAGGGAGAAGAATCTGTCATGCCTCTCTTTCAGCTTCCAGTGATTGCCAACAATCCTTGGCCTTCCTTAGTTTGGAGCTGCATCATTCTAATCTTTACCTCTGTAAGTACAGACCTTCTCCCTTATGTGTCTTCTCTGTACCTCTTTGTCTCTATGTCCCAATTTCCCTCTCCTATAAGGACACTCCTATAAGATGTAGGCCCCATCTTAATTCGGTATGACCTCATCTGAACTTGATTGCATCTGCAAAGACCTTATTTCCAAATAAGGTCACCTTCACGGGTACCAGAGGTTAGGATTTAAACATATCCTTCTGAAGGACACAATTGAACTCACAACATCTTCTGTCAAATCCACTTGACTGACTGTCTTGAGCCTTTATCTTTTTTGTTCCCTTTTGTAAAAAGGTGCCTGTATTCCTTGTGTCTACCTTTTTTTATTCAAATTTCTCATTTTTTTTTTTATTTGAGTGTAGTTAACACACAATGCTACATTAGTTTCAGATGTACGATATAGGGATTCAACTTCTCTATACGTTACACTATGCTTACCACAAGGGTAGCTACCATCTGTCACCATACAACCCGGGTCCAATATTATCTATATTCTTTATGCTGTGCCTTTTATTCCTGTGACTTACTCATTCCATAACTGGAAGTTTGTCTCTCTCATTCCTCTTCACCCATTTTGCCAATCCCCCCACCACTCTTCCCTCTGGCAACCATGATTTTGTTCTCTGTACTTATAGGTCTAATTCTGATTTTTGTTTATTTATTCATTTGTGGCTTTGTTTAGATTCCACATATGAGGGAGATCATATGGTACTTGTCTTTCTCAGCCTGACGGATTTCACTTAGCATAATACCCTCTTCAACCAGATTGTTGTCGCTGTAACTCCAGCAAAGTTCCCTTTGCCGAGACCACAAATATTGTTAACCTTTTTATTAATTAGATATCTCGGTCACAACTGGATCCCTCTTTCATCTTTGAAACTTTTCCTTCATTTGACCTTGGGACACCACTTTCACAGTTGGCTATCTGTCATCTTTCTAATCTCTAAAGTTGGGGTCCCAATTTGAACCTGTTTTCTTCTATATCTGTGGATATTGCCTATGTGATCACATCTAACCCATGGCTTTAAAAACCAGCTCCATAAATGATGATTCCTAAACTTGCTATTTCCAGCCCTGGTTGCTTCTTCAATCTCCAAAGTCATGCGAACATCAGCCTTCTCACTACCGTCGCTAGTTGTTTACCAGGCATCTCAGTTAAACTGCATTCTTAACTCTATTCCCAAAATCAAATATTAGAGTCATCATTGCCTTATCTCTCTCTCTCATGTTCATCCATCAACTCTGCCTTCAAAGTATATATAGCTTCTTGCTAATTCCTCTGCTACTTTACCATTTCCGGCAATCGTTAACATTTATCTGAACTATTGCAATAGATTGCAAACTGGTCTTCCTGATTCTCTCTTGCCCCTACAATCTATTCTCACCACACCGGCCAAATAAAATTTTTTAAATCATATATAGTGTTATGCCCCACCTTTGCTAAATACCCTTCATGAATTTAGCATCTCAAGGACCAAACAAGCCTTGTCGTGCCCCATGAGCTCTGTGTGACCTGCCGTCACTGCTACCTCTCTAGTATCGTCTCCTAACATTCAGTCATCTTGTTCTCTTTCTTCCAGCCATGATAGTGTTTTGCTGCTTCTCGAGCATGTCACATACCCAAGGTTTTTGCATCTGCTGTTGCCTCTACTTGGAATGCTCTTTCCCTTCAGATAGCTGCATGGCTAATTGTCTTATTCTTTTAGGTCTCTGTTCATATATCACTTCATCCAAAAGACAAGGCTTACCTAAGTTAACACCATCTCTCTATCCCTTAGGCTCCTTCTTTCTTCTTCATAGCACTTACTATCACTATCATATCATAAACTCTGTTTTCTTTTTTTTTTTAATGTTTATTTATTTTTGAGAGAGAGAGAGACAGAGCATGAGTGGGGGACGGACAGAGAGACAGGGAGACACAGAACCCGAAGCAGGCTCCAGGTTATGAGCTGTCAGCACAGAACTCAACACGGGGCTCCAACTCACGAGCCATGAGATCATGACCTGAGCCGAAGTCGGACGCCCAAACAACTGAGCCACCCAGGTGCCCCTAAACTCTCTGCTTTCTATCTCCACCTAATACGTTCAAATTACAAGCTCCATGAGAATAGAAAGTTGGTCTGTTTATGGTTTTCACTGCTGTATTTATAGATCTAGAAACAGCATGTGGCACAAAGAGGATATTCAGTAATATTCGTTGCTTAAATGTCTCTTTTTTCCATTCTCTGTAGCATTTGACACTGTTGGCCACATCCTTCTTGAATGTTCCTTTGATTTCCCCTACTCCTCTGACCACTAACTCTCAGGCTTTTCCTGAGAGTCCTCCTCCTTTTCTTATCTCTTGAATGTTGGCAGCCCCCCAGTTTGAGACCTTAGCTCTCTTTTCTCCTCATTCTGTACACTCACCCTTGGTTGCAGTCCAAATCCTATCCCTATGACTAGCACATGTACAAACCCAGACGACTGACAGCCATTTCAGAACTTGCTTCTGGATCCAAACTTGTCTGTCCAGATGCCTTAACTATCTCCATTTGGATATCCTCAGGGAAGCCCACAGAGGCTTTTCTAGTGACAGCCTCAGGACTTTTCCTCAAACTCACATTGTATTAATTATCTTTGTTCTTAATCAAAGTTCCCCAGAAACTGGGCTCATTTTCCCAATCGTGATTAAAAATAATCAAATAGCTGTTCTTTGTCGAGCATTTTAATTACATTTTTTTTTCCTAAAACGTCTAATGACTTATTGCGGTAAATTATTAAATCTGTTTTATAGATGAGAACACTCAGGCGCAGACACACTAATTTGCTTAAGGTTACAAAGCTTCTAATATCTTACTGCCGTTGTGCCTAGTGTATAATTTTGATTCTCTTCTGAAATAATAATAGACATCCCATCGTCCTCATCCCTAAACAAATTCCAAAACCAATATAACAATCCAGTCAACAGAACAGGGTCTCTGTGTCTCAAGGGTTCATTCGCATTTGGGACACTCAATTTACATGGCCTCTCCTAACCACCAAACCAAGGAGATCCCATCCTTCACATTGCACTCCCTCCTCCCAAATTGAGTTTTACCTGCCCAAATTGAGTTTTTAATTCTTTTCCTACAAATCACCTGGAAATCAATTCAAACATCTTTCCCCCTCTCTTTCCCTTCCACAAAATTTCCCGTAAAATATCTCAATCAGGGCATGTTGAATGTAGGGCATATTTGCATGACAAGCCACATGTCTAAAAAATGAATACCTTTATTAAGGTGTAGCCATTTACAAAGAGCGTCCAAAACTAGCTTAGGAAGGGTCTCTGTGCTTTGTTCTAATCTCCAAAATGAAATATTCATCCCCATTGCCTTCCTGCCTAAAAAGTCAGCTCAATCATCCCCTCCTGAGAAGTCTCCCCTGACCCCGCTTGGCAGCCTCCTCTGACCCCCATTCTACATATCTGGGTCCAGTTGTTTATATTTTGACTTACCCTAATAACATAATTTTTAAAAACTTCTTTAATGTTTTATTTGTTTTTGAAAGCAAGAGAGACAGAGTGGGGGGGGGGGCGGAGAAAGAGGGAGACACAGAACACACAGCAGGCTACAGGCTCCAAACTGTCAGCACAGAGCCTGACATGGGACTCGAACTCGTGAACCGAGAGATCGTGACCTGAGCCAAAGTCTGACGCTTAACCGACTGAGCCACCCAGGCGCCCCTATTTACCCTAATAACATAAGACATAACACGACTATTGGGATGGATGGCAAGCACTGATTGTCTAGAATTTAAGTAATGAAAATTTCCATAAATGTGTGATTTTCAATTGCCATGGAACAAACAGAACCAAAACATATGTTCCATTGTTTTCCTACTTGATTACATGTATTCTTCACAATTTTATGTATTTTGCATTTTCTTCTTGGAAGCCAGAGCACCATGTACACATTTCCAAATTACACTGTATTCGTGCAAGGACCATACCACGTGCATTTCTCTATCTTCTATTTGTAGCCCTATGCAGAATGTATAGTAGGTGTTCAATAAACAATGAATGAATAATGGATGGACAAATCAAAACCATCCTTTCCTGCACAACTCTGGAGCACCTGCTTTAGTAGTATAAGATAACCACGTCTTCTAAAGCAAACAAGCCTTGGGCCTGATAAGCCTGTATGACCTTGTAGGAAGTTTGGGACCAAATATTTGATTGTCATATTTAAAATCTGGACTGTTCCATATGATCGTCCTTATGTTTGATACAGACAGTATTGAGAAATAAGAATATAAACCTAAATGCTTAGGTCCCAGAATACTTTTAATGCTTAAGAAGATAAGGCATAATATTAAAATTTGGAAATCTTCCTACACAGACAGAGAAGAAAGCTAGAGGTTAATGGAAGTTGATTTCATGCATGCATTTTGCTTCACCTCTAGTCAGACAGCAGGCTTTAGGCTCCAGTTTCTTCCACTGGATTAAATCAGGTGTAGCATATGCAGGCTCTCACACAGCGGCAGCTGCTGAGTCTGTCCAGAAAATGGCTGTGCCAGCAGCAATTTCCCTGTGGCTCTCCTATTTAATTGAATGAGAACCAGCAGGTGACTGGTGCCATGACGGGGGAATCACAGACACACTCTGAGCCTGTCACTGTATGATGGAGCTAATATACAGCCTTTTAAGTAGAGCACTGGATTCTGCTCCAGGGTAGGGCACACGGAGCTTTTCCTATTATTATTATTATTATTATTATTATTAAATGTACTAGAGTTGTGACTTTGAACCCAATATTTTTATATATTATGTAATTAACGTGGAAGAGTAGTGACGTCTCAGGTCATTTGTTTTATAAGTGATTATGAATCCCACAACCCATTATTACCAAGAAAACGTTAATACACGTTAAATATATGTTTGTCCTAATGTTAACGACAGCCGTGATAAGAGAGAAGGCTGAGGATCAGGGGATAGTTTCCCCTATCAACATATTGTGCATTTGTTCCGTGAATAGTGTTTAGCTGCCACAAAATGGTTAGAAATGTGGAGAATTAAGGAATCTGTAAATACAAAATGATAATGAGCATTAACTAAGTAGAAAAAAAGTAAGCAGTGTTGTTAATGTTCCGTTAAGCCTCAAGCATCAGAAGAGCACTAATTTTCACCAAACCTTGGATTTTATAGAGAGTAAAGACGTAGCTAAATGTCTGCTCTGCATGAGGCTTACTCAGTCCCATTCAAGGACAATAGGCATTAAAAGAGACACGTCAGTTTGTAACTCGGGAAATCTATCTTTATTCCGCATATATGTACAGTAACTGGCAAAACACTACATGCTTAGCAGGGAGAGAGCTTCAGGAACCATTTACACTCAAATGCTACAGAGGTATGTAAAAGTGAAGGCATATAAAAACATGTATGTATGTGGATGACAGAAGTTTATGTTAAGATTTTCTTTCACGCTGCTTAATGAGAACACGCTTACTTAGTTCAAGGTCTGCACAATATAACAAACAGGTGACAAAAATTCTAAGCAAAAGCTTGAGACACTATCAGAGAAACTGTTAAATAAGCAAAAGAATGAAGGCATTTAACTGAAATTGAAGGACAATGGGTTCAGATAAAAAAAAAATTTAATACAGTTTGGAGTTTCTTTAAAGTTTTAATGACCACAAAGCATTAGTACCTAACCCCCTGAAGGTGCTGGGGGGCATAGCAGCAATTAATATTAGTCTATAACCCCCCACCCCAAATTTACTCTGGTTGTCAAAAAAAAAGTCATGTGTCTAGCTAATGATCCCCGCAGCATTGTATTTGTCTGAAACTTTCATCTACATTGCTGTCTGCTGGCTTAAGGCTTACACCTTTGCTCTTAATAAAAGAAAAGAGAGCTATTTAACTAAGTCTCCTAACCATTAAAAACAATTGGTTTTACAGCCACTTTCAAGTCCCCCTCAGAGAAAGCTACTACAAAAAAATACCTACTTTGATGTGCTGTGGGGCTTAATCAGACATTCTAGAGTCAACAAATGCTAAGAAAAAAAATCCCAATAAAATGCTTTAAAAAATTGTAAGTCAGTTTGATAGAGTCTGAGTTGCATGTTTGTAGTGTTTTTGGAGATCTGCCAGTGTTAAATCGGATCCAGTTGGTGTGGACTGAAGTATTCCTGGCAGCAAATCAGGACAGAAAATCTGACCAAATAATGTCTTTCCGAGTAAGTGACAGCTAAAATCTGTTCTTTGGCTGTTACTGCTGTGAGTAAATGGGCAGATATTTTATTTAAACATATAAGTGTGAAAGAAAGTTGTCATTTCCATGCTCTAAAAAACCCAATTGAAAAAGTAAGGTGTTTTTCAATATTGTTCTTTAATGAACTTCACCATTTTAGAGAAATTTATCAGGAAAACAATGTAGACCTCGCCTATTTTATTTTTTTAGAATTGAAGTTTGAAATTCCATGTCGATTAAAAAATTCATTCATCCTTTGCCACTGTTAATATTCAGGGAAAGAGAAGCGATTGAAGCAAGCTAAGGAGGAAGCCATGGCAGAAATTAACCAGTACAGAATGCAGAGAGATAAGGAGTTTGGACTGAAACAATCTAAGGTAAGTAAGAAAGCACAGCTTTTCTATGTGGTATAGATTATAATACATTAATATTCAAGAGGTGTAATGCAGAATATCAAGGGGGAAAAATACAACGGATTGAGCAGACCCAGTTCAACTAAGCCTGAACATCAGACTAAATCTTATACGTTACAGAATTACTGATTTTACATGTTCACTTTCCAGACTTTTCGATTTGCTGTCTAAAGTATCAATCAATAGTGAATGTCTAATATGCAGTCCATATTAAAAATCATATTTTCAAATATTCAAACTGAAGGGACTGGTTAAAGTATTATTCCCACCACAGATGACGAACACATTTTATTAAGAAAAACACTTCAGGGGCGCCTGGGTGGCCCAGTCGGTTAAGCGTCCGACTTCAGCCAGGTCACGATCTCGCGCTCCGTGAGTTCGAGCCCCGCGTCGGGCTCTGGGCTGATGGCTCAGAGCCTGGAGCCTGTTTCCGATTCTGTGTCTCCCTCTCTCTCTGCCCCTCCCCCGTTCATGCTCTGTCTCTCTCTGTCCCAAAAATAAATAAATGTTGAAAAAAAAAATTTTTTTAAAAGAAAAACACTTCAGAAAACATATTTTTTTGTCTACTAATATTTACCACTACAATCAATAAAAAGTGTTTCACACTGTTATAGAATGAGTTTCTTGGTCAACTTTCTTTGGTATATTCAAGATTTACAAATGACCAAAGTAGAGGGGCGCCTGGGTGGCTCAGTCGGTTAAGCGTCCGACTTCAGCCAGGTCACGATCTCACGGTCCGTGAGTTCAAACCCCGCGTCGGGCTCTGGGCTGATGGCTCGGAGCCTGGAGCCTGCTTCCGATTCTGTGTCTCCCTCTCTCTCTGCCCCTCCCCCATTCATGCTTTGTCTCTCTCTGTCTCAAAAATAAATAAACGTTAAAAAAAAAAAATGACCAAAGTAGATATGGCAGATTCAGCAAATTGCTACAAAGTCTTCTGGTACTTTTTTTTATTTCTTTTTCAATTGTCTGGCTTCATTCAACAAATGTTTCATGAAAATATTTTTAAAAGGTTTTTCCTCCGCTAGCATTTTAAATATATCTATAGTTTACAGTGAAAAAAAAAGTGCATGAAAATTTCAGAACCAACATCCTCCTTTTCTTACTGCGATATGACTATAATTTTTTTTTTTAAATTCTGTGTGTTACAACTAAAGTTTATATGATATAAAGGTTTTTCCCCCCAATAGAAACATAAGTAAAGGCTGACATTGAAAGATGAACTTCAAGCACTTTGGAAATCCCCTTACTTACAACTTTTATTTTAGTGGGAGTAGATGTGGGGCTGGTAGAGGGTCAGGGAAATCAAATCCCATGATAGGAAAAACTTTTCCAGGGGGCTCCTTCTTAAAAGAAAAAGTCCTTCCCAGAATGAAGTGGACCACTCAGCAAAAATAAATTCTTCTCATCAGTCTTTCAAAAATAGAATCATAAAATCCTAGATCTATACATGTGTATACAGCCCTCCGTGATTGGCCCTTGGCTATCTCTCTAATCTGTCAGTTCTGAAAATGTCATGCACCCACTTTTTACTGTGAACTGCAGATACTTTTTAAATGCTCGTGTAGGGAAAAGCATTTCTTTATATTCTTATGAAAGATTTATTGAAAGAAACCAGCCAAATGAGAAGGAAATCACAAGGAAATACCAGAACACTTTTCAGCAATGTGCAACAAGATCTGCTTTGGTCATTTGTAACGTTTTCTACTACTTTTGTCTCCACTTGGTCTCTTCCAGCCATATCGGTCTTCCTGTTCTTCCCCAAACAGATTGAACACACAACTTCCAACTGTGCCTTTGCACATACTGTATTTGCTCCCTGGAATCATTATCTTCTAGACATATTCATCCTCCTTCGATCTCTGTTCATTTGTTAGCTCATCTTTCAGATCACCTTATTTAAAACTGTGTCTTTCATTAGAAAAGAAAGTAGTTTTCCATTATATTCATATCATGTAACACTACTAGATACATCATATATTTACATTTTTTACTTATTGCCTGTCTTTTCTTCTGCACTATAAACACCAAAACAATAAGGTCTATGTGTTGTTCTCTGTTATTTTCCCCAACAATGAAATAGTGTCTGTTCCATAGTAAGTACAATAAATATTCATTGAGAGAATAAGTAACTAACATTTCTTCTGTGACTTTATCTTCCTTATTGAGTCCTGTCATGACCCATAACATATTGGGACCTGAGAAAATAGTTATCCCTAACACCAGTCAGCATTTATTATTTTATGCAGGATATTTCTGATGTACTTATATTTCTAAGTCATAACAAAACTGACTGTAATTTTAGAAAGTAACTGGGTTAAATCTCTTGAAATGTTATTTCTTCAGAAGAATCTCATAAGATGTAAATCTGGCTCAGGATATTTGTTCTCTGCTTTGGAAAATAATTAAAACTCCTCATTGCTCTCATAATTGGAGCTCTAAGCCAATTTTACAGCTAGTTGATCAAAAGCTCACATCGAAAGGTCAACATGTTTAGGCCTCCACTAACTTCAAGCATATTGTAAAACCATTAGCACAGATATTCCTTCCTTGGCATGACCTCCATATGTCAGACATATTGCTATTCCAGTTAAATCTCATCATCATTAACCCAGGGCAAGTAGGAGGTCTGGGAGGAGACCCAAGAAGCCAGTTTTCTGCCTGCTGTGGGTGAGACACCTCGATGTTACTTTTTTTAATTGTGTCTTAGCTCTTGTTAATGTATGTGCTGTTTCCATTCCCCTGACATATCAACAAAAGCAGGTATCCCAATGTTGGTTGTATAACAACAAATATTGTTTTATTGAAGATTTATTTCTCCTTCCTTATCATTGCTACCAAATATAACATCTTCTACTAAAGAAGATATGACATTGCTGAAAGGAATCGGACCACAGTGGAAACATTAAATCTATTATTAATGCAGAAGTTAGAGGGATCATGAATCCCAACAGGAGAAATGAAAATAGTCGCCTGGAGCATAATGATGATTTTTCTATCTTCATCTTTCTTCCTGAATTCATATCATGAAAACATTTTGTTTCCTTGAAGCAAGCATATATTGAGCATGCCAAATGGTGTTTTGCTCATGATAGTGGGACCCGAACTTCTGCTTTCCCTTAGACGGGAACATTTGAACAATTTATAAAGAAACGTACTGAATGTTGAAAGATTTCACCACCATCAGTCATTTAGCTGTAAACCTATATGTATCAGTCTCAACACTGAAGTTTTGAAAATCAACAGTGAGAAGTCCTTAAAGGGTGCCCTTTGATCAAATGTACCCACCCCATGTCACACAATGATCAACTTCTAATTTCTGTAGTGTCCTAAGCATTCAGATAGAAGGCTTCTGCCAACGAGAGCAATAGAACACAGGTAATAAGTTCTCTGTAATATCTAGAGATCTGATCGTTCTATTCAGTTCAACAAATATGTATTGGGCATCCACTTTGAGGTGTTTGAGGCACTTGTAATACATCAGTGGACAAGATGCCACTGATCCTTTGTGGAGCTTATGTTCATTTCTTTACTCACCTGCATGGTTTAAATCAACACTGTCTGCAGATATAAAGGTATGGAATTCTTTCCATGGAAGGCCGTCTAAAATAGTATATGGTGCCAGAGGGGAGGTGTGTGGGGAGATGGGTGAAATAGGTGAAGGGGTTTAAGAGGACACCTAATGAGCCCTGAGTAATATATAGAATTGTTGAATCACTATATTGTACACCTGAAATTAACATAAGATTGTATGTTAACTATATAAGAATTTAAAATAAGGTAAAAAATTAAAAAAATAGTGTATGGTTAGTTATTGGTATATGTCTAGGGAACAATGTAGAAACTCAAATTACTGTGCATCAAATAAACTCAGAAAAAATATTATATTTAATTATGCAGGATGAGACATGAGATTATGAGCCTTTTTTAAAGGGTATTCCAATGTTTCTGAAAGTGTATAATGGCTTTAAAAAACTAGAAAGTACAAGCAACACAATCAGTGAAAAATCACTAACATTTCCTGATTGGTCGCTCAGTGCTAGGCTCCTTGCTATGTACCATCTCTACTATAATCCTTTCAGAAAATTATCATGTTGTCTTAGAAAACCACATTAAGAACACAACTAATAGTAGTAGCTGTCATCTGTGGATTAAACCTGCACTGTCAAAAAGGGTGGCCACCAAACAGACACATGAAAAGATGCTCAACATCACTCATCATCAGGGAAATACAAATCAAAACCACATTGAGATACCACCTGACACTGGTCAGAGGGCTAAAATTAACAACTTAAGTTGGCAAGGATATGGAGAAAGGGGAGCCCTCTTGCACTGTTGGTGGGAATGCAAACTGGTGTAGCCACTCTGGAAAACAGTGTGGAGGTCCCTCAAAAAATTAAAAATAGTTACCGTATGATCCAGCAATAGCACTACTAGGAATTTATCCAAAGGATACAGGAGTACTGATTCATAAGGGCACATGTACCCCAATGTTTATAGCAGCACTATCAACAATAGCCAAATTACTGAAAGAGCCCAAATATCCATCAACTGATGAATGGATAAAGAAGATGTGGTTTATATATACAGTGGAATACTACTTGGCAATGAGAAAGAATGAAATCTTGCCATTTGCAGCAATGTGGATGGAACTGGAGGGTATCATGCTAAGTGAAGTAAGTCAGTCAGAGAGAGATATGTTTTCACTCATATGTGGAATTTGAAAAACTTAACAGAAGACCATGGGGGAAGGGAAGGGGAAAAAATAGTTTCAGAGAGGGAGGCAAACCATACGAAACTCTTAAATACAGAGAGCAAACCTAAGGGTTGATGGGGGTGAGGCAGGGGAGAGGGGAAAAGGGTGATGAACATGAGGAGGGCACTTGTTGGGATGAGCATTGGGTGTTAGAGGTAAGCGATGAATCATGGGAATCTACTCCCAAAGCCAAGAGCACACTGCATACACTGTATGTGAACTAACTTGACAGTCAATTCTATTAAAAAAAAAAAAAGTGGCCACTTCACATATAGCTAATGAAACTTGAAATGTAGTTAGTCCACATTAAGATATTCTGTAAGTATAAAAGACATACCAGATTACAAAAACTTCATATGAAAAACAATGGAATAATTTTTGTGTTGCTTGTACATTAAAATAATAATATTAAGAATATAAGCTTAAATAAAAAATATTATTAGGGGTATCTGGGTGGCTCAGTTGGTCGAGCATCCGACTCTTGATTTTGTCTCAGGTCACGATCCCAAGGTCATGGAGTGTGGTGCCTGCTTAAGATTCTCTCTTTCCCTTTGCTCTTCTCCCACTCACACAGATGTGTGTATGTGTGTGGGGGAGGTGGAGAAGGGGTATGCACACGTGTGCACACGTTCTCTCAAAAATATATATCTTACGAAAATTAATTTTACCCAGTCTTTTTACCTTTTGAATGTGACTCTAGAAAATTTAAAATCATTTGTATGATTTGCTTTGTGGGTCATATTACATTTCTATTGGACAGCTTTGAAATAAAGAACCTAAGGTTGAGGGGCGCCTGGGTGGCTCAGTCGGTTGAGCGACCAACTTTGGCTCAGGTCATAATATCACGGTTTGTGGGTTTGAGCCCCGCGTCGGGCTCAGCGCTGACAGCTAGGAGCCTGGAGCCTGCTTCGGATTCTGTGTCTCCCTCTCTCTCTGCCCCTTCTGCACTCATGCTCTGTCTCTCTCTGTCTCAGAAATAAACATTAAAAAAAACTAAAAAATAAAATAATAAAATAAAATAAAATTGAATTAAATTAAATTAAATTAAATTAAATTAAATTAAATTAAAAAAAAAGAACCTAAGGTTGAAATAAACTTTTCCAAAGTCCTACAGGATAGTGCAGAAATCTAACCTAATAATAGCTATTTTAACACTGCTCCAAAGAAAAAAAATGATAATAATTTTATAATAGTTTGTCTTTTAAATATTTCAACACTTAAAACATTGGATTTAGGACTTTTTTTAGTGGGGTAGAATCTCACTTAATATAGTAGCTTTAGAGGAAAAAAATGATTTTGGTAGAATTATTTTGGTAAATAGTTCTCTTCCATTTTTAAACTTCTACCTAGCAAGAGAAATTCAGTCCATATGTCTGCTCCTTGTATGCTCACTTATCTCAATGTTATTTTATAAAAGTTACTTGATGTCTTAGAAGCTATATTTCCTTAAAATGATTTTCTTTGAACTGGGAAGCCCTTATTGCATGGTATATAAACAGAAAAGAACTTGAACCTGATAGCTTTCAATTGTGTTTGATTTCAAGTTTAGGACCCAGAAAGATAATGCGAATTCTAGAATTTAGAATAGTCTAACAACCCTGAAATAGAAGTCAATCATTAGTGGAGTCTCTTGGACTGAACTTAATGCATACCTTCCTTGTGTGTAAACATTCACAGAAGAGAAAAACAAACAAAAAACAGCTGTGTTGCCTTAACAATACCATGTTTAAGAAAGGCTGAGTTTACAAAGGAGATGAATTAGGAGTTGATTGCTTTACAAAGGGTAACTTTTCAAAGGATTTTACTGAAGAATTCCTTTAAATTAGTAACTCCCCTGGTGAAATTATATTTTGGTCAAATCTCTTGGAGATAAATGGAAATACTGGGAATCACTGTCGATAAAAGAGTAACCAGAAAGATATATTAAACTGTATCTAAATATATAATGTAAGTAAATGGACAACTATATTTTAATATGAAAGAAATCCACTTTATATTAAAATTTTCAAAATTATCTATTATCCAAAAAGAGATACGCATGCATGTAAAAGTACCTTACTGGGCATATCGTGACTATATCTTCCTGGAAAACAACAATTAATCAGTTCAGATAATATATTTAAAAAATTGGCAAATCAGTTATTTGCTCTTTGAAAACCAGCACAAGGGATTTAATGATGTCTTACCACTTTACTTTCCAGACTTTTAATTCAGAAAAGTAAGCAATGGGGAAGATAGAGGAACTGAATGGCAACTCTTACAAATATATGAAAAATGCAGTACAGGAAAAACCTCCTGAGTATGGAGGATGATTGTGAATGTGCCTCCAATTTGTACTGTGTGGGGACCAGCCTAGAAGTAGAAGTAACTGACCATGGCCATCTTTCATTTTTTAGGAAAGTTTATCCATCCCACTTATGGTATTGGTGATCGTATCCATTCTCTGAGAAAGTTCTAGAAAAATAATACGCAATGTGTACACTCTAGAACAATCTTTAATAAATAGGCCAAAACAAGTTTAAGTAGTAGACCAGTTACACTTTACTATGGATAGTGTGGTGAATTCTGTCCGTTGTATTTTGTCAGGTAATGGGGTCTCAAAGTAATCTCTCAGAGGAAGTAGACGAGCGAACACTCGGGAAGATAAAAGAATTGAATGGAAGCTACAACAAGTACATGGAAGTCGTGCTGAAACAGCTTTTGAACATGGTTTGCGACGTGAAGCCAGGAATCCACGTAAACTACAGAGCTACCCACTAAACGTGCACCCTACTGCTCAATAAATGGTATGTGCATGAAATTTGAAATGTAAATCTTAAATTCACTAGACATTTACAGATTTCAATGTGACATAATTCACACATAAGCACTGAATTTAAAAGCAAACAAACAAAAAGTTGTTATATCTTTCTTGGTAACAGGCGTGACTTGTCATTTAACGTAAAGTAAATCAAGCCGGCAGAGTAACATATTTTTTGACACTTGGCAGAAAAATGTGAACCTGGCCACTTTTTAGCAAGTATGAGGTTTGGGGGGGGGGAAATGCTTCTTCTGAGCAATTTAGAAAATGTTTTCTTTGTTGTAGCTGTTAAAAGATCATTTTTAAAGAAAGATTTCTATCTCAGACAGATACAAAATGAATAGATGTCAAGGATTTTGTTTAAGTCATTAGTGAGGAAACCAGTCATTAATCAATGAGGAAATCAGTAAGATGTTACCACTAATTCAAAGAACAGTAAGAATGTCATAGATACAGAAATGATAGAAAAATAGATAAATGATAGATAGATAGATATAGATAGATAGATAGATAGATAGATAGATAGATGATAGATATAGAGGCACCTGGGTGGCTCAGTCTGTTGAGTGTCTGACTCTTGATTGCGGCTCAGGTCATGATCCCAGGGTCGTGGGATCAAGCCCCACCTTGGGTTCCACTCTGAGTGTGGAGCCTTCTCCACACTCTCTCTCTCTCTCTCTCTCTCTCCCTCTCTCTCTCCCTCTGCCACTCTCCCCCTAAATAAGATAGATGATAGATAGATAGAGATTAGAGAGAGAGAGAGAGAGATGATACAGAAAAAGACATGAGTTGGTTATGTAACCATTCTCTCTGCCTACCTTCAACTAACCAGATATTCTTCTTTCAACTATCATTTTTTTATTTTTATTTTTTTAATGTTTATTTATTTTTGAAGGAGAGAGAGAGAGCATGCATGAGTGCTAGTGGGGGAGGGGCAGAGAGAGATGGAGACGCGGAATCTGAAGCAGACTCCAGGCTCTGAGCTGTCAGCACAGAGCCTGATGTGGGGCTCGAACTCAGGAGCCATGAGATCATGATCTAAGACGAAGTGGACACTTAGCCAACTGAGCCAACCAGGCGCCCCTCAATTATCATTTTTTAAAAGAGAAAAGTGAATGATAATTAAATGAGCTGTTAGCATAGGTGTTTAGGCTTAAAAACAATCAATCAATCAATCAATCAATAAAACAAACAAACAAAAAAAGCCCCAGGTGATGTAGCAGGTTAGTATGTATTATGAATTGAATGTTTGTGTCCCTCCCAAAATTTATATGTTAAAATCTAATCCCCAGGGTCACCGTATTTGGAGGTGGGCCATTTAATAAGTAATTGAGTCAGGAGAGTGGAGCCCTCGTGATTAGAATTCGCGCCCCTATAAGACACCAGAGAGCTAGTTCACTCAGAGAGGAGAAGTTGGCAATCTGCAACCCGGAAGAGGGCTCTCACCAGCCCCTGACCATGCTGGTACCCTAATCTCAGACTTCCAGCCTCTAGAACTATGAAAAGTAAATTTTTTGTTATTTATAAGCCACCCAGTGTGTTTGGTACTTGGTTATAGCAGCCCCCGCCCCAAACTGATGCAAACAGTATGCCATTAGCCCAGCCACCTAGACGGTAATCACTGAATTCTTTTTAGGTACTGGGCACTTTAAGTACAACATATGAATTATCTTGATTCCATTATTGTGTGTTGTGTTAGCACGCATCCCTGTTTTACAAAATGGGAAATAGCAATTAAGGAACTTGTCCGCAGTTGCTTGAATGACAGTGACATGGGACTTCCAGTCCAGCCAATGACTCCAATGTCCTCACCCTTCATTACTTACTCCCCGAAAAGTTTCTGTATTTACATCATTAAGAATCTCTGAGTACTCTGCTTTTCCAAGAATATATGCAGACAAAATTTAGTCCCAGTTGAAACAAAATTTAACTGGTAAATTTTAATCATTACCAAATTCTTCAATTCCAAATATAGACTAAAATTATTCTAAATGATCACTGTTTTAGATTAACCTACACTAGATGTAGGTCCCCCTCTAGCAGACAAAATTAAAATTTTATCACATAGTCTTAAATCTCAGAAACATTCAATTTTATATTGACATTGGGCAAATGGATGAAAAATTTAATATTTGTTTTTCCCAACTTGTTGGGCAAGGAAACCCAAACAGGTTAGTTTTTTTTAAATTTCAAATAGATTTCTCTGTTTGCCAGAAAGACAACTGATTCTCCAATTAATGACCAGAAAGGTATCAACCTTTCCTAGGAATGATGTCCTTTAGTTTTGGGGGGTAGAGGGGGAACGAAGGTAAGACATCAAGTAAAGTTGCCTCCCTCAAATGAGGACAGCCATGGAGGATTTCCACTTTAACACAGATTTGGAGATTTTGATTACTCCTTCAGAGGTGAGTTATGTAAAACAATGACCAAAACTGCACTTTTGAAAAATTGCCATGTGAAAAGATAATTCTAAAAGACGTAGCCTTGTGATTTGCCTTACATATCTTACCTCATGAAAAATATCTTAAATACCTTATTATGAAAACTATCGAGATGCCAATTTTCTGTGTAAGAAAAGCTTGAATATGTATTCTGGAACACACAAGTTGATAATAAATTCCTGAGCCTACACGGGATGGTTTTTTTAGGCTTACATGCAATAGAAATACACTAAAGTCGGTAGAGGATTTTTCTCAGCAGTAAAGGAGCTACGACAGCCGGAAGACAGTGGTGAAGATTGGGTGTCACTAGCCTGTGTGTCTGATCCTGGCTGTGCCCCACACTCTCTATGTCCTGTTGGCAATTTACTCAATCTCGCTGGTCTCAGATTCTTAATGGCATTCAACTAAATGATCTCTATAGGCCCTTCAATATTCAATTCTACATACTAAATCAGACCATTTGCAAAAGTCAGTACGCATTACCTGTAGTGTTCTCACTTCTGTAGTATTTGTTAATGTTTTTAATGACCCCACATCTATTCTCAACATCTGAACTATTTCAGAACATCTCCCCAAAGTGTGCCACTTTGGCATGTGGGCTATTTTGAGCTGAAGGCAATCAAGACCCAGCAGACTCAAGAAAAATCTTTACCTCTCCCTTAAACTACCTACAAGAATTTGAGAAAGAGAGCTATTACCAAGAGATAACTTTTGCATCTACATGACCTATCTGCGTGGCAGGACAAACATCTAATTACCAAACATCTGCTCCTTTTATTATCCTGTGAATCACCCTCCTTCTTTTTGAAACTCCAGGCCCTTATCTCATCCTCTCGTGTAAGATGGCATTTAAGCTTCAATTGTCCTCGGGTCTAATCTTCTCATGGGCATCCTGTATGTGTGCAATTAAATTTATTTTCCTTCTGTTAATCTGTCCTATATTAATTTGATTACTAGACTATCCAAAGAACCAAAAAGGATGGAAGAAGCAAACATACTATGTTGGCAGGAATATGTGGTGATCTCCAGCGTTCTTAGCTCTGTAGCTCTGTAAAAGTGTAGTTTTTACACTCAAATATGGTTTCACATCTATGCCTAACTGAATGAGTCATTTTTCAAGAGCTCTCACACTCCCACAGATGGCTAAGCTGCCAGGTTTTACTTTATTTACATATGAAAAAGGTTTTACATATTTCAGAGACAACTCACTTATCTATGACAGCTTCCTCAGTCACAAAAAAAATGTTGACTTTTTTTTTGCACAGGTACTTATCCTAAAATAATTTTCCTGTTCATACAGGTCTTCACACAGAAATGGAATAAAGTAAGGATGTGTTTAATCGTCCTTCATCCTTCCTTTGATCGTTGGCACGATCAGAAACTGCAAAATGAAAAATGACTCCATTCTAAAAGCAAAGCCATGCAATTTACAGGATGTAGAGGAATAAAATGGTTTCTAATTTGTTTCTCTGTATTACACACAAACACGCACAAAGTCAAGAATTGCCACCAATAGATCAGCACTATTATTTTCTAGATGAACAGAACTAGGAGAATGGAGTTGGCCAGTGTATGAAAACCTGCCAATTTCTAAATCTCCAGATGAGGCCACTCTGGAAACATCCAATCCTCAACATGGAAAAATCCAACCTAGATCAACAGAGGTCAACAGAGCCACATTACCCACGGCGGCCCATAAACACATAAGTGAGAAAAGTGAAGACCATATAAACCACTTAGAAGACCTACAGTCTCAAGAGCAATGAGACTGTTATTTTAAGCCACGAAGTTTTAGGGTGATGTGTTATGAAGCAATAGCTAACTGATATCCCCATTAGCTATCGCTTTAAAAGAGGAGGGAGGACAATAAGACAGACATGTGACTGTCAGACTCAGATCTGTGAAGGAGGCCTTTGAGGAGGAAATGCATGGTGAGCAAATGAGAGACACCAGCTACAAGCTAACTAGAAAACTACGAAAATGGTCAGAGATGGGGCTACCACATGAAGGGGAGATGTGGCAAACATGTGTTTTTGTTTGGATAGGAAATGCGAGAGCATATTCGTACACCAGTTGAAGTTGTCCCAGAGAAGAAAATATTTCTCTAAAGAACAGAAGAAAACTATTGCGGAAGCAAAGTCCCTGAGAGGGCAGGAAGCATAGGATTCCCATCTGAAGTAAAAGAGTTGACCTGACACTAACAGGAAGATGACATACAAGTGGAGTTTGACATACAAGTGGTAGGTAGGTCTAGCAGTAGGGAGATGAGAAAGTTCCTGTCTGATTGACTGGTGTTTTCAAAATAAATATGAGGGAAATGATTAGCCGAGAATGAACAGAAATTTCAGGAGACTTACCCAGACAAGAGAAGGAGTGAATGGTTGTTTTAGAAAGTGACCAGATGACTGTGCTGGGGAATTATAATAAGACTGTCAAGCAGGGTTGAGTGTCCAAAGGAGACATATTGTCGTACTTGTAAAATGAAATAAAGTCAGTTGTGTGCTTTTGTCTGGTGATGG